GTTTGCGTGATGTATGCTATGATCACAGGGTTACTGTAACCAGTTTTGGGCTGGAGCTCAGCATCTGGATTGGGGTCTTTGTTCGACGACAGTCTTATCCATTGCATGTGTTGATCTGAAACGAAGGTTTGGCAGGTCTTTTACCCCGGAAACCTTGAGCTGTAGATGTCGCCGAGCGGATGCCCCAAGGTCGTATGCGCGGCTTCGACGATAGCAATGGCCGCAAGCAGAGTCTGCTGGGAGACGAGAGCCGCAAACAGAGTCTACTAGCGGCGGCCCCAGAGGCCCAGATACTTACGTATCTTGTAATCCCATGAAGAGGTGATCTTGAGTCAGTTGCTGCAGAGTATCATGGATAGAATCTAGAATGATCAGACTAGACTTCTTTTCACGGGATTGCCTGCTTGTAATGCAGCCGAGAACCGGGAACCCCGGGATATTCACGACCCTTAGAGCTCAGGGACTGCAGGTTCGTGTTTAGGCTTCCAAGGTCAAGGTCAAGGGCAGCTTTCGTTTGGTCCAAAATGTAGGAGCTTGAAGTGTGAGGTTGCCATAGGGTTGCTGCGGACAAGGAAACCGGAAAGGTTTCTTCGTTTGAATGAGTGAGGCGCATGTCTGCGAAACCATACACGGATTCTGCTTAGCTATCTCCTACCTGCCCGCCATCCCTCTCGGTGATTTGAAGAACTCAATGCTGTGCATCTTCTGCACGTATGAATCAACTCCTGAATCCAGCCCAGCTATCAGACGGACAGCCCCGTTTCCAGATTTTCCCGGGCAATCCTAGTAGAATCGGCCTAAAACCCTGAATTTACACCTTCCCCCCTGACGTCTCAGAGTACCCAAATACATGTCGACCTACAGCTCCTTACACTCTTAACCCGTAAATCCTATAATCCCTAAACCATGCTACAACCCTACAGGCCCTAAGCCCTGAACTCCCGAAGGGACCCGAGTTTCTTCAAATGCTTTCACCTGCTTCGAGGACGGGCCCCTGGAAGAGGAGGAAGGCCGGTCTAGAGGAATGCTGGTGTGTTTTGCGATATACAAGACACACTTTTGCCACATAGGAATACACTACATAGCAAGCTATAGCCAATAGCAATATACCTATAGAGTCGAACTCAGCAACTAGGTAAGGATTTGAGAGTTGTACGTCTTGAGGTCTGTGCTTTAGGGACGAGTGTGGAGGATCCAGCATTTGAGGCTTTCAAACCAAGCCGTACTCGACAACTTGAGGTGTCCCACTCCGTGGGTAGGTTAACATCATGCACAAGGCTTGTGAAGGTTCCCAGCTCTCAACCCGAAGCCTTGAACCTTAGACTCTGAGCCTCGAAATTTCAGGGCTAAGAAGGCCTCGAGCCGGAGAGTCGAAGATGAGTTGATCATGTGCAGCCGGAATCTGTGGAAACAAGAAGCAAGCATGCCGCTGATGGGCTACATCATGCAATACCCGCCAAAATGAACAAACCACAATTCGCAGTAATTCCCCCGAAAGTTTAGGGTACTCAAGCTAGTGCGCTACGTTGTCCATCAGCAGTATCCTAAGCTTCAATGTCTAAATCCCGAGCAAGACAGGCGACACCTGCAAACCCAAACCCCCAAGCTCCTAGGCCTCGAAGCCCTAAACCTTCAACCCCATCCCAACTGGCAACATGGCTTTCGCAAGCAAACCCTAACCCCCCAGGTGCCTACTATATAGGGCCTAATAAGGGGCTCTAGTACCCTTTATAGTAGGTACCTGGCGGGTTAGGGAAATTGCCTCGACTGTGCCAGCTCCGCCAAAGCCGGCCAAGAGCATGCGGCCCAGCATCGGACACCGAACGGGTTTTTTGAGCTAGGTTCCCCAGTAGTACCCTTTTGCCCTTTTTCTTTCGGGGTTCCCTTATTACAACCAATTAGTAGGAAAAAGGGTACCCGTATTATTAAGGGGCTACTCGGGAACCTAGTGAGGGTCTAAGCAATACGTATTTGTTATCACAGTTATCACCGTACGTGCCCTGACGATAGTAGCGATAATGGAAGCTGCCACGAAGCCCCACTAGAGTTACAGTTTCGAAGTTTAGAGCTTTCGGGGCTTAGGGCCATGGCTTGTGGATGAAGGGTTCAGGGGTTTTACAGGTGCCCTTCCCTCAATATAGCACCCTACTTTCACGTTGCCAATAAAATTCCTTAGGGTTCCTTATGCTAGAAATAAACCCTACACCCTACACCCTAAACCCTGAACCCTACCCTAAACCCTAAACCCTACACCCTAAACCCTGAACCCTAAACCCTAAACCCTAAACCCTTCGAACCATTGAGGCCCCTATATTAGGGCTTCAGGTTGAGGCTGCAAGGCGTTGTAGCATTGCACGGTAGGGATCTTGTAGACAGTCCTAACCGCCGGTTTAAATCGTATAAGACATGAAGACTGCAAATACGTATTCGATCGCATCAGACATGTAGTCTACAGTATCGTAAGAAGCTGAGAAGGCTTGTTTAACGTAGCCAGCCTGAATCTGACTCATCCATGGGCTATGGAATGAGGATCCGCGAAGTTCTATCATCTCGAAGCCCTCTATGAAACCAACCGACGACAAGTGTGCCCTAAAGCGGCCCACACCTTAGGGTAATGTTTCGTCCGGCGGTTTCTGAGGACCTCCTGCGAGACAGTCACCTCCTCAAGGCCTTGAGCGTGGCTTCGGGTTCGCTTGATCAGAGTCGTGTAGGGATTTTCAATCGGGGCGGTCCTAACACTTGGGGGTATTGTACTTGCGGGTTCTTGTAGCAAGGATCCGACTATTCGGAGTCTATACTTGGGTCCACTTCAATCAGGCAATATGTTTTGTTCTCAATTGGGACAGTCATTGATGAAGCTGTACTGAGCTCTCTGGATACCAAAGATGCTGTACATAAGGGCCCCGTTTCTTTTTGGCGGCCCTTTCAAGTGGCCTGTCCTTCCAGACCAACCATGAATGGGAGCCTAACCCAGATGTCTATGTGGGACATGCTCTTTGCTTGGAAAAACCGAAAATCTCTTCCTTTCGTAGCCCCCTGGCACCAGACCGTATGCGCAGCTTCGACGAGGGTCGCAAGCAGAGCCTTCTGGCTGGAGCCCCGGCACTCTGCAAAGACAATCATTCCTTAAAGCATAACGGTTTAGGGTTTGAGAATTACGGTTGAGGGTTAAGTCAGATGCAGGGTTTTGGTTTTGGCGCCTAGGTAGCGCTATAGCAGCGTGTGATGTCAGCAGGGGGTGGCTTGTGAAAGTTCCTTTCCAAATGGGCACTCAGGGCCATGGATGTCAGCAAACCCATGTATAGAAATGCTTTTAGTCCGAAGCCTCAGAGGCAACAGTTTCAACACGAAGTTTAACAGTATGCCCTGCGCTCAACCTGAACCCCCCCATCTTGCAAAGCCCTGACCACAATGAAACCTTCCCTGAAAACACCCCAAGCACGGCTTCGATCAAGGACGGTCCCCTGGAGCCCGAGGCCTGCTCTTAGTCAGGTTTTCGGATCGTGGTTTGAGCTTAGAAGTGTAGGCTTCAGGAGGTTTAGAGGCTCGGCTTCAGGTTCAGGATAGCTTGGCGTTCTTCTTGGGGGAGTTCACGAGGCAAGGCTTTATGTATGGGGCTCCCAAAGATGTTTGTATCATTGTCTGGTTGAAAGAGTTGAATTCCGAGATGGTGAACAACACGTGCGCTGGAAGTAACCGGTCCCTCTCCTCGCGGAAGCATGCACACGTACTTTGGACCCAGACTATGGGACAAATTTCCAGTGGTACAACGCTTAAAAATATATATATATATATATATATATATATATTAGCATATATATATATATATATGTTTTACAGGGCTGTGGGTTTATGCGGGATTTAGGGTTCAGGCTGTAGGAGTTCGCAGTTGAGCTTGGCGTTGCGAATCAACCAGGCGCGTGGGCGGCCCCCATCTGAGCTATTGTCTGTCAAGCCCCCGCGCGATGCCAAGCCCATGTCCGAACAGCACTACCCCCTGAATCGGCGGCCACAACCCAGGTGTCTTTCGTGAGCATCCACGCAACTCGATGAATGAGGGTGCACTCGTGCATGAACAAAGATAGTGCTGGTAGTGGCCCTTGATCTTGCATTGCTTCTGCAGCTACTTCGTAGCTAAACACACATGCGCAAGGGGCGAACCAGTCGCAGACTACATGCGTCAGTAGTAGCTCGTGTTGCAAGCCAGCAGCCTTGACTCTTCAAACCCCTGCCGGGGGCTGATGGGACGAAACTTGTTCAGCACCTTGCAGAGCACAGGCGCCGCCGCCCCGCAGGGGCCGCCGTGATGTTGAAAACTTCCTGCGCCGCGACGTCGACGACCGTTTTTCGGATCGGCGGCGCGAGCCGCCGCTCTCAGCATTGTTGATGAGTTGGGCTTAGGGTCTCTGGGACTAGATAGCGGTATACTACATGTGTGCATTATATTAGCTTTGTTTGGCTTCAGTTCTCCGCCACTTCGGAAGGTTGCAAAGGAAGGCCCGCGTGGCTCTCGTAGGGTCTAATTAGAGTTTGGAAGCACATGCGGAAGATCTCTTTACTGGTATAGCTTGGCTTGGGCTTGGGTGTCATCGCTACATGTTGTTGGGCGCACATGAGATGAAATCGGCTGTTCCAAGTGTTGGGGTTTGTGAGGCAGAAGCACGAAGATCGACATGCAGACTGGATTAACGCTTCGGGAGTTTGGGATGAGGTTTTCTGAGGCAGATGCAAACCATGTCTGCAACACGTCATCACACTACCACGGTTGTTTGCTGACAGATACTCTGTTGGAACTTATGGGCTTCTCCTCAGAATTTCTCAGCTTTCCACTAACACAATTCAACTGAGAGCCTGACGAGGGTCATCCTACCTAAAAGTTAATTGCAGAGTCTGTGCCCTTCAGCTTTTCCGATTGTTTGTCCCAATACAACACCCTTTTATCAGAAAGCTCGATTGTTTGGGACCGCCTCCCCCCAAAAAGTGCATCTTGACATCCTGAGGCCCGAGGAGAAAAGGGAAAAGCGCCAGAGTCTTGCTGTCATGCTTTGAGCTCTTGCCAAGCTACAGCAACTCTACAGCACCCCCCCTCTTTCCAATATGGGGCGATTGCTTTCCCGGTGCCGCTTTGATCATCACTCAGCCCCCTAAAGTCACCACTGCCCTTGGTCGCTACGATTTTTTTTTTTTTTTTNNGGGGAGGGGGGGCTTTGGATACGTGGGGTTTTTGCTGAAAACGTACACCCGGGGTTGAAGAGCTGATGGAATTCCGGCAGCAGGAATCCATCTCAAAAGGGATCCCTGTAGAGTCTGTAGACCGAGCTTCGGATGTGCAGAGCTCTGGACTTAGGGGCTGCTTAGGGGTCCCTCGAGATTTAGGAAGTCGGGGTTGGTTGTGTATCCGGGGAGTTTGGGAGTCAAGGGGTTCCCAGGCTCAGGCTGTGTGTCTGGGCTCATGTTTGCAGTTTCGGGCCTCGAGGTTCCCTCGGTGTTTTCAGAAGTTACACAAGTCAGAGTCGCAGCAGCAGAGTAGCCGTCGAACCCCGAACGCCACGGGACTCTTGTTGCGTTTGGAATAGCTGCCATTTTACTTCATGTGCACAGCAATAGCTTCGCTGAAAGCTCGCACAATACGTGCTAGCACTACTGGAACTTTTGTGCAATTCCCAAAGCAGGATTCCATCCACAAGCCATGCCCATGAGGTTCTGCCGTCGAGTACCACCAGTGACTCCAGCACATTCTGGAACAGACACCAACAGAAACCCCTAAACCCCAAACCCTA